ATATATATATATAACATTTTTTTACTACTATTATTATTATTATTAATACGATCTTTGAAATATGTAAAATTTGTGATATTTGAACCTTGTACTAGTCGTTTTTTGATCTAGTCTTATTTTTAATCAGTATATATATTTTACTAATTATTTACGGATTTAATTAATATATCAGATGTCGTTACATATTATTTAAACTTAATATTCATCTTTGTAAGTCTTCCTTTGTAATAAAAATTAATACGAAACATCATTAGTGAGTATACGAGTAGCACCTAAACCATGACTGTCTAACAATGTAAATCGATATGTTATTTTTTATATAACAAGATATATTTAGACGTGTATTTAATCGATATAACTTGTGTAAATTTTGTACAACAAATTTTTAGGCTAGGTCTAGTCATGTTTGGTTAGTCGCCTAGAATCAATAAATATATATTTATATATATATATTCGTATTTGTGGTTAGTTTAGGCGTAGATGATGTGATTAGAATTTGTATTTATTATTATTATTATTATTATTATTACTATTTTTTTTCTGTTAGTTCGAAAAAGTTACTTTAAAATACATTTTTTACCCCATAAAAATACATAAACGTGGTTTTTTTATTGCAATCATAATATTGTGTGCTACTTCATACCTTATTTTAGATTATTAGTTAACACTTCAATCAACGTACCTATATAATACATTGTCTACAATACTATAACATCTGTTAGCGTTTTTACTCATATCATAATATTATATTTTATTTAATATGATTATAATCATCGCTTAACTAATATATATTTTGTTTTTATGATGATCTATACAGTGTACCTAAACATTTTTTATAATATTCAACAATGAGTGCGTAAGCTATATGGATGGTAAGTTGAAGAAAACATTATTCGCCGAAATTATTTTTCTYTGCAGACCAACATCAATGAATTAAGGGTTGGCATACTCGTGTAAATAATGTAAAATAAATTGTTTAATAGAATGATATTAATTATTCCAGAAGATTTCAAACGACGAGAGATCAGTTCATTAATTTACATCATTATTAACTTTATTGACTGTGATAACTAAATATTTTATATTGTACGTTKATGTTGTTGTTTGTGTATTTTTTTTTTTATACATTTTTCAGGGATTTTGTATGCATAATAGCCGCCACTGAATCCAAAGATATGAAGAAAGCCGTCCTTATACTACTTTCGATGTGTTATGTTTTTAAATAAACGGATCATTTTAAAATACTAAATATTATGATATTTAAATGCGTTTCACTCACTTTATACTTTAATAATTGACTCTGTGAAAGTACRAAATGCTTTATGTTGTATATTTTATTAAGCTGAAAATCCCGAAGTCTATTATACTATTATTCAGACCTACTTAGGGAAAAATGAAACGAAATATTTTGAGTCAACTGAAATCTCAATTATATCATTAACGAAAAATCTTCTACCTAGTATGCCTACTTAACAAGTGATCTAAAATATCATGCTGTCAGTTAAATGATTAACTTCTAACATTTGACGTCTTTGGTGTGAATAATATGTTACTGTCGTAGGTAGGATTGGTAAGAACAGCATAGAGTTCAGACAAACTATACAAATTATATTTTACACAAACCACAACCCTAATCAATCTGCAATCGTCGTTTGTCAAAAATCATAAAATATAATATTATAGCGAATAAACACGGGCAGCTTCGCTTATTCTGATAGTTTGTACCGAGTGTAACTTTTTACTAATATTATGAAGAGTTCAGTTGGGTAGATCACGTGGTATAAAACTAGTAGGTGAATTCATGATCAAATTTAAATGTATGAAATGAAAATATTAGCTACTTTCTTTATAGTAGATACTAGGTAGTAGGTACTCGTAGAATCAAGAACATAATAAATGTTTAAAATTTAAATCATAAGCTGGATGGTGTTTAWAATTTATAAACTATTGTTTTTTTCGAATAAACTACATTATATCTATAATAAAAGTTTGTAACMAATTTTAAAAATATCATTTAAATTCAAAGGCGAAACAATGGGCATTTCCCAGTGGTATATATAGATAGTAGGTACTAGGTACCTTTAAATTATGGTCACACGCAATATGTCAAAACTGTATTTGAGCTTAAACGATCTAAGTCATAGTTGCTCTGCTGAGCTATAATGATTGATTTTCCCAAAAATTCATAATAAACCTATAAATAGCTAACCTATAAAATACAACCATCATGAACTGCTTTAAACTAGATACCTCAAGTGTAGGGGGTGGTATCGCGTGTATCGTTTCAGGAATTCCGTGAAATAATTATTTTCTGCTGTAAAATTGTTAAAATTATTATGGGTAGATTTCTTTATCGTCTTAAACAAAATGTTTATCTTCGTAAGCAACATTAAATAAAACAAAATTTGAGTATAGCATTTAAAATTCCATTTTAAAGGCGATTAATAACTAAATAAGCATATTTTTGAAGGTGCTTAAAATTATATCAATTGCAGACCGAGATTCGAAATATGCCTACAAAATCACAAAATTCATAAAGGAACGACGAAATAAATGTATTGAATCCAGAAAAATTAAATATATATTTTTAGAGACTATTGAGTTACCTATTCGTTGAACGTTGAAAATGTCATTGTACAAGAAAAAGAATGAATAATATATTTATATTTGAATTATAAATATTAAACGAAGGCAAATCGCAAATGTACCTACCATTTCTGTTCACAGATAAGTGACTGTATCTTGAAAGCGAGACTTTAAAATGTACATATAGATAGTACAAGTCACAAGTGTAGCCAGTGTAGGTACAACGTTGCAAAGTTCAATTAAATCGTGTTTGTTTAGATGTCTATAGTCTATATGACTATGTGTGTCGTGTGATGAATGAGTTGGTAAATGAAAATAAATTATAGGTAGATACATAATATTTAAATGATGCAGGAATTTAATTGACGTCGGTAACTACGCGTCTGTCGGTCTATACGGCTACATAAAAAGCAGGTAATATAAGAAATAACGTAGGTGCCTAAAGTATCCAATGATATCAATATCGCATAAAAAAATCTTATACCTTTTTATAGTTGTAGAGCAAAAATATAGTTAATTTACCTTCAATTCAGTCTTTAATATAGTTTCTCTGACTTAAAATATTATGCAAGGCCCCTGTACCAGAATTTGGACGTTTTGAAATTCTTCCACATTATAATATATAKGTAATAATAATATACATTGGATACATCTGTTTAGCCAAATCTATCAGGTTAAAAGTTGCATCGCTATTGATATCAGCTAATATCCGTAAATCGGGTTTTCCCAAAATTACTGCCCGCACTACACTATATATTATAATATTATGTYCTATACGTGAATCCATCGTACAAACACAGCCAAGACTCGGGTTTTGAGTRCCTACGGGAAAAGTAATAGGGTAAAAATAAATATACAAATTTGAACAGCCCCGTTGCACGCGATCTCCACTGGTGCCTGCTGCTGCGTCCACAGCGGTGGCATTGACCTAAACTACAAAAACGGACATCAGCCAACGAATTTGGATGTACTGTGTAGGTAAYAGGTTATATATATTATCGTAGCCACGATATATCATATATCSAAAACATATAATAACAACGGTGTGTCTGTCTGTATATATACTATAATGCCGTGGTTAGGAAATTGTGTTCAATAGTATACCYATATTTGMCAATCCGGTTAAATTTAATAATTTGGCAACTGTATAAAATTGAACTACTAAAAATTTAATTTTATTGAAGTTTAGTATAGAACGTAACTTCAGGCTTTTTAGCTGGTACCTACAGGCTACGTATTACACAGTGCGGAGTCTAATCGTAATAATTAAAACGTACGTTACTATATGTATAAGAAACATAAATAAAAATAATGTCCTAAACCCAGCAGGTGCCTTGCCTTTAATAATATATTATTTATTAAGACATTGTAATATTATTTATGAGGTTATAATATTTTCGTGAATTCATGTAAATTAATTCCTACTACATAAGCACTGTATATTATATTATAATTAATATATAGTGTCATAAAATCAATAATAAAGTGTTATGCTGTGTCATTAAAAATACCAAGTACCTATATAATAGGTGATATTGTAAACGTAAATATATTTAAATACAAATCGTCCTACCTGAGTAGGTATGATGGACGTGTGATCACACAACGAAAACCGAACTTTGGCTACACCRCCGATACGTCGTGCATTATATTTTATAAGGTTATATGTTGATGGTGTGCACTCWGCGCGTGGCCAGCGATTAGGGCTGTACTCGGCTGCACAGTATATGTTATATGTATWATCATACAATGCGCGCGCGCAAGCGTCTCCGACGGTCGTCACGACAACGCCTCGCCGGTAACTCTCTTCGCGCGGTCCCTATTCCGTCGGTTCAAATGGATTTCCCGGCGGCGTAACGCCACCAATACCCACACGAACATGTAATGTAAATATACATACATATAATATATGACCAGATGTTTCWAAGATAGAGACCAACTTCATCCCCCCTCCAAAAAAAAAATGTACACGTATTTCGGTGTATTACGCGTATGTGTGCCAGTTCCGACAGTGAAAATCGTACGCCAGCCTAGTGAACCAACCGTTAAAGTCGTCAAATTCTCSCTTTTACCTCTCCATCCGTCACTGCGGCTATACATTGCACCCCTATAGGTTTACTTATCGTCCGGCGAACAACGGTTAAACTCCACTTCAAATCCTGCTGCAGGGTCGTTAGCCTTATAGTTCKCGAATGAAGCATTCGAATATAATAGGCGGAGTRAGGTACTATTATTGATATTATATCGTTAATTTGGCGCACATTATTGGACTTGTCACTTTGTACGTAGGTACGCAGGAAAAAAAAATTTAAAGAAATTCCTCGACGCAACCGCAGAAGTCAAGTCAGCAGTTCCTTACGTTACAACGTGTTTCGTAAAGGTATAAACTTATATCCTAAGTTAMAATTTATTTAAGAAAACAATAAAAATAGCAATCGGTAGTCGGTAATCTACCTACGAGTTTTAAACCGTGGGGCTGAATATTATTTATCTACTTTATCATTGTACCTGTCGCTCTAAATWAAAATAAAAATAAATCACGCAAATTCTCATATCGTTAGAAATAATCTTACCTCAAACGAAAAATATAATAGAAATCAATTAGTTGTCTTCGATAGGTATCGTGAACTAACTAAAAATATATCAAGTATCAAAAAATATGTTTTGAAACTCTATATACCTACTCTTGCGGTAACAGAAAAAAAAATTAAATGTAATTGTACACATTGTTATTTGTTATTCATCATTAAGTATTTCGTAAAATGTAAATGGCCTTTCCACCGACTATTCWAAACGCTTAAATTTATATTTTTGATTTGTCTATGGTTATTTTGATATAAATAAATGTATATAATATGCATTGGTATAACTCAATTTTAAAAACAACACAAATTTCTACCAAAAATATGAGTAGTACCTATAGTCAGTATACCTACTAATTGTTAAAAACCCTAAGAGAACAACMCTACTGAAGAATAAGTTAACATTAAAATTCCTGAACATGGCAAAACTCGTTATAGTTTAGGTACCACATATCAATAGTTTCAAAGAGACAACGATATTCCTGCAAGATGGGGTGAGTAGTAGAAGTGCAACATTTTAAAAAATTTAGGTTTATTCTTGTGTAAAACTACGCTCGGGAAGGCAATGAAACACCGGTTTATTGATCAAAAACAAAACCCTTATGGAGAAAATAAAAGTTATCCGCTGTGTTCTCTCTGRCATTTATTATTAATAGTCGTCATCCAACTTATTGTATATTATCTTATTTTATATGCACCGCRTTAATAGTATAAGCTATAATCGGGTATGTCGGGTGCGGTAAATTAATTACAAAAATATAAAATAAAGGCGTGAATTACTTGTAAAACAATTTCCTACACAAACGTTTATACATTTTTCTGATGCTTTAATTGTGACATCGAAATAAATTAGAAATTAAAAAAAAAACCACCAGACACCAGTGGAAAGCACTCTATTGGTAAGTATAACCTAATCTCCAATGACCTCCTYCGAAGAACTTCGGTGTAACAGTGAAATGGCTTTTAACACGTCCACTCGACCGACGCCCGTTTGAGTTTAACGAGTGTGAAATAGAGAATAAATAATAAAATATATTTTGACGAAAAGGGTGTGACCCGATCGGCCGCAGAGAGATAGGTAAAACACAGTTTTTTCAATTACGCTAATTCGTCGTACTTATATACACAGACACCTATATATCATATATACTTACATATATATGTATATAATATTATATAAAAGGAAAACGGGGAAATTGTATTATATTATTATAGAAAACAGGTGGCCGGAAAAGAACGTGCGTTGGAAAAGTTCGCGATCACCGGTACAATAACCCTCCTCCCGAACATACTCCTTACATCGTATAACAGAATATTATTTCCATCAGAAAATTTTTACGCTATAAAGTGTAAAAGATCGTTTTCTTATTTTTTCATAAATCGTTTTACCTTCCACCACAGATTTATCCGGCGAACACGGTGTATGTGTACTCTGTTTCAGTCGAAATCGCGGACGAGTTGATATACCTATATAGTATATATACCGTGTCCTGCACTTGTAATTTTTGTTCGGTCGGCGCCGTGTCGTCGTGTACTTATAGATTGTCCTAATAAGTTTGTCCAAATATCCAATGATGCRCTTGAAGTACCTGAAATTAAATTCCACACGCTGAATAATGTATACGCTCAAATGTATAGTTATTTTTTTAACCGCAATTAATAGCCATCGTTGTTGTCTGGCGATGGCTGTAACTATCTACGAGACACGAGTACATATTATACTTAATTAAAGTATTATTATTTATTATACACATCATCGGGATAATTGCAAGATATRATTATCCGATATTTTAAAGTTACGAGATAAGTATACACGAGTTTTAGGTACCTATTAGGTATTTATAGAGACGCGTTTAAAGGACGGCTCGACATCATCAACAGTATACRTGGCCAAGGAATTGTCGTTATGATGTATAAATAGTATAAAGTTCTGATTCGTATCCACAACTATACTGCTACACATAATATTATATATGTATATTATAATAGTCGGTAAATACACGACGCCGGTTTCGGGTGCGGTACAATAAGTGGCGCAGTATATAATATAATATAAGAACTCCGAAAATATACTTTAACCTATGATGCGAGACATTTTTAATGCATTATTTTTAGATATACGTACGTGATCTCGGATGAATATTCGCGTGGACATCAACAATTTCCGAGTCGTGTGCCGTCGGCTCCGTGTTTGCGCCCTGCAGTTCGCCGTCCCCGCAGCCGCGGCCGTCGTTCGAGTCTCACTGAAAACGTTTGCAGCAAAACGAAACTCGCGGGGCCGACTTGCGTTTTCGTGTGCCCGTGCGTGTGCGCGCGTTGTGTGTGTTGGTTCACCGCGGATGAGATGTCGTGCCCGGTCGCCATCGCCGTCRTTCGTCGTTCGCGCCCTTCGGAACGGGCACGGCGGATGGGTGCGAGCGGCACCGTTGCAACGCACTGTTCGCACACCGTTTTCCACCGCCACCGCCCCAGCAACGCCGCTGCAGGTGGAATCAATAGCCGAACTTGAAGGGGTGGAAATGGCAACGGTGGCGCGGAAGACGGCGGAAAGCGGTGGGTGGTAGTGGTGGCGGTGGCGGTGGCGGTACTTTTCCATTTTATTTCCCCGGCACCACACCACCGAGCGATTCGTCGGCGAGAGSGAGGTTAGCCGTGGTAGATGGGGCGGCCACACCCTTCGGACACACGCGACCCTTGTACACACGAACTCTGTCACCACCACTATATCCCGACTGTACTCACCCCTCCGCTAGGGCCGTCGCCACCACTACCGAGTCTCTATCCTCCGTCGCGGGCACTCGGCGTGAATGAAAATATTATGACTGTATGCGCGCACTTTCCGTCAGCGGCGGAGGCCGTCCCTTCCATTATTCATAATTAATTTTTCCAACGTGGTGAGGGGAGGGCGAGATTTCGTCGGGTGATATTTCGCCAACGGAATCCCTGCGGAGTACTGCTGCAAGCTCAGACCCCTCTTACAGTATATACATCACGACGGGTATTGTGTACTGCACGCGTATATAAAACTCAATAACTTACATCTACTTATATATTATATTTTATATATAAATTATACTGAGTGTGCAATATTATATCATTTATAATATTATATATACCTATATAACGTCAAATATTATATTATTAGATCGGGTTAGGTAACCTAACTTTACCAATATAGAAGTATAAATAAAATTGTAAGCACAATCACTACATTATGATCTATAGGCAATAATATAATATTAATAAAGTAGTTATAAGTTATACCTATTATAACTATTTTTTTTTATTAGCTTTCAGCTCAACAATTAGGTATAATATTGTTTTTATATAAATATATACAATATACGTGAGATAAGAAATAATATCTACCTATTATCTATTATTAGGCAGATACAAAGACACAATATCGGTATATTTATAAAAATAGTGAGATACAATATTATGTGACCCAAAATAAAACTATTATATAACGATGGAAATAATTTTGCGAAAATAGCTATGGAGATAATGAAGTTTTGGGGTTTAGTGCCTCGTCTTCAAAAACGTCGACCTGATGTCAAGCTGATGACGACGATATATGTTTTAACTTTTAATTCTTCTCATACACATGAAAAATAAAATATTAATTACCCATTATGTTCGGGAATCARCTTGAAGGATACACGCGTAAACATACATTGTTTATAATAATTAATTATCGGAAAAACAAGTATTAACATAAATCATCATAGACCAAGATAATTTTAGTCCGTGACACAAATACACAATAAAATTGAATAAATATTTGTAAAATATAAAATTATGAATTGATAAACAATAATAATAAGTCATTTCGTATCCAATATTCCATTTTTAGCCCAATGTAAACCAATATCTACCTAATAAATTATATTGTGATATATCGATACATTAAATTTCTTCTCCGAAAATTAGAACCAATAACGTTAAATTTAAACTTATGGTATGTCGACAATGTCAACATAATATATCGTATATATATCTAATTATTAATTATTAACTATTAGTTATATTTTTTCTCCGTAAGTATTTGGATTCTAATTACGAGTCCAAGGAAAGGATAAAAGGTAAAACCTTATACTGGAGCTGAATTTTTATACAGGGAAGGCTTACTGCTTAGCTCCCCATTCCCCTGGTTATATCGATGTATACTGTACACATTAAAGTGTAATTAGATCGATAGACAATGGACCGACGTTTCTGGGTTATTCAATTTATGTGGCTATATATACTATATATGTATATGATATTATTAGGTATCATTCTAATATAATTGCACCAAACACATTTATTCATATTCAGGCCCAGATTAATGAAATTTAGTCAAAACAATAGTGATAAATATATATATATATATATATAGTGATAAATATATATAAATATAGTTATAGTAATTATATTTACTATAAAATCAATAAAGAGGAAAAAAGTAAAAACTAATTGTTTTGTTTAACAATCCTTCAGAGGAGCCCATTAATAACTTTGACTGTGACTCGAATCATTAATCATTGAAATGCGATCAATAAAATTAACGATCATACTAAACTATATTACGAATTTACGATCCATTGGGATAACTGGAAAATATCCGCCAAGACCCAAGACAATTGCAATGATAGCTTACTTTTCTGAGACGGCGCGTGGCGTAAAGAGAACATAACGTCATAACGTGTAACAATTATATAAAACATTTTAAAATACTATTGTCTATTGACAAAGATGATCATCAGCAAATCATTAAGTAAGTTTTAAAGTTTAATAAATTGTAATTAATTAGTGAGTAGGCGTAGAATATACAGTTTTTGGTAATTAAATAAACTGGCAGGTTCAACATTGCTTGGTCGGTGGCACAAGTGTGCCATAACTTTTTGTTATAATTTATTTTTTTATTTGATTTTTGCGACTCATTGTGGTATATTTTGTTGAATGATAAATTTAGAGGTTTTATTTTTTATTTAAAAATACTATTGCTTACTTGGTCAGACTATTTTAAATAATGATTAATGTGAAAATTAAATTTACATTTTTATTAATTTTAACCCACTTATTTATTTTTTATTTTTTGATAAAGTAATGAGTAATGACTAATGATATTTTCCACGAAATTATATTAAACTTTAGCAACTATTCACACATGTATACTGTGTGTTTATAAACCGGGTACACTTAATAATCACTCATTAGTCATTAGTTCATTACTCTGTAAATGTCTTTCAATTTTCAAATGTTTTATTCTTTTAAATTACATATTTCTTTGTTAAAAACAATTTTGAACTAATTACTTTTAAGAAACAATAGTAAAAAAAATAAAAAAATACTAAACGTTAACTTTCAATGATAAATAGTATATCTTCAAATGAACAGTAAGACTATAACTTATGTTCGATTGGTATTACATTACCGTTTTGTACTTATATTCACTTTGTATAGCAATGATTAATCATTATAATGTCTATTAATATTAATCCAAAATTATGTTATATTAATAGACATTATATTAGTTAAACATGAATCGTAAATTATTTTAAATTAATATTATTAAAGTCTCTTAAATATGTTTCTATGATCTAATTGATTATAAACAATTACAATTTTATAAATAGTTCTTACYTATCGCTTTAATAATCAACAATATTAATATGATAACACGTCAGAGAGAACAAAAAATTCTAGCACTGCAAAATAGCTAAAACCACCAAATAGCAAATATTTAAAACTCCTGAAATGTGTTATTATCAATAAATTTGATAAATTAAAAATGCAAATKATATACTATTAATAAACTATAGTATGTGTATTTCTATAGAAATACATAATTATAATTAAAATACTGTACAAAATATGAGAAACGAGAAACTGAACGTTTACGTTATAAAATTGAAAAATATTTATATAACATATTTTTATATATTTATATTTTTTTTTCAAACGAAGGGTTGTCAGCCGGCGGGTAAGGAATTTATCTGAGATATACGTAAACTAATAAACATATTGTTAKATAAATTATAAGTAGAACTGTAGAGTTAACTGAGTTAAGTACTTGTAAATGATATTAAATTTATATATTAGTATAGTAAAGTGTCTAAACACTTTAAACATTAATTGTTGATAATTCAATAATTGGCTTTTTAAAAAATTAAGATTGTCGTGTTATAACTCTAGGCTGGTGTAATATTTTATGTTATTGAATAATAATTTTGGATATCATTTTGGCTACAATGTGTAATATTAGTYTGTATAAGTTAATTAATGTTTTATTTCAAGCTAAATATTTTTTATAAAATGTATTTAAATATATTTTTTTATTAATTGATTATATTGTTATATTATACATTTAATATTAGTTTACTTTTTAGTATAGCATACTATTATTTGTTCTTAGKAGTTGAGATAATAGGTATTATTTTCTATTTAGTTTTACGTCGTTAATTATTTTTTTTTTTGCTCTAAAACGTTATTCAATTTTTTTCATACACATAATTCAATATATTTTTTTCAATTTTATATTTTCCTAATAGTTTTTATACATTTTACACAAATTTTTCCGCCTAAACGTGGCTTTAATTTTACACTCTAACGTGTGCACCATTTATTTGTAATTTTTTGATAATTTTACCAATTGTGTTAGCCCCTCACACAAAAGAAAAATAATAACAAATTATCGTTAATCTTCAGCATATTTTTTATCGTCATTCGTATTTGACGATGGTCGATAAGAAATTTCTTGAGAAAAACATAGTTTTGATTGAAATAAAAATTCGAGTTAGTATAGTTACTAGTTAGTAGTATGCTACATGTCATACCAACTTATTTTTTACAACACTTTACAATAGCATACATTCATACAATAATAAAATTATGATCGCACGGCGTATTGAACAGGCAATTTAGCTACACCACAGTAATGAATTTATTTTTTATATTATCGTATAGTTTTGACTTTTATGTATTTTCTTCAATAATCAAAATTGATCAAATAACTGTTTTTTTACATGCAAGTTAATCCTTATCCATTCTTTACCCATTGATGAAAATCGAAGGGGTTGTATGGGCGTTTAGCAATCTGATTTTTATGGCTAGCACCACAAATCCCATGTTTATGATTTATGGTACAAGACGTGTATTACAATAATAATTATTTGCCCATTAAAATTATATTTACTTAAAAAATACATATTTTTGTATTTTTTTGTAATATAATATGTTCAGTTCACATCAGAATGGATTTAACCGTTATGTAACTAATGTTTTAAATATATCTATATCATGATTATATCATACTATCATCAACGGAAAATAAACGCGATGATTAATATTTATTATAACAATTATTTACACATCTTGCGAAATTCGACATGCTTCCGAACCTATAATTATTTTCCTAGATTTGTAATGCAAAATATTTCGACCATAAACTTAAATATAAAACA